TAAAAAAAAATTCTCAAGTCAAAAATGTTTTTGTGTAACTAATTGAAATCCCTTAGACTCCGGTTTAAGCCATTTCCTCTTCTTTTAATATCTCATCACAGGCCCAGGGCTCTAAAAAGCTAAGATCCGGGGTTCTACCTGGAGTGAGGGTTTGACTGTGAGCTCTAACTAGCACTTTCCCTTCCTGCCTGAGTTGAATATTGGGTAAAGGAAGAGGCCCTCTGCCTGGCTGAATCAAAGGAATGCTCCTAAAAGCTTCCTCATCATGTTTTAAACAGCAGTTATCTTAGACACAGGGTGAGGGGAAGGTTGATTTCAACAAAACAAATTTAGATGATTTTTTTCCCCTTGGATTAATGTGGCTCTACTCCCTGATGCTCTTGAGGTAGTCTGGGGGAGAACTCTGGTCTCTTTGTTTTAATATTTTAGAGGAAACATGGGGCCATCACTTCACAGCCCTGCTTCATGTAGCACCTTGCCCAGGAACGAATCCTGAGATACCTGAATCTCCTAGGTATTTAACTTTCACATCAGAGCATCCCATTTTATAGTCACCTACCTCCTATGACGGCATTTTGAGGATAATGGAACACAAAGAAATCTGGTTTTGGTGACCCAAACTTAGACCTGAAATACATAAACTGAAACTTCAATGAAGTGGCCTCTGGAACTAGAACTTGTGTGGTCAGCAGCTTCTGCAGTCGATGGTGGAGGGTGGCTTCCTTCTGGACTTAGTGTGATTTGGGGCTTTTGAGCAGTTGTTGCTTTCTTGGCCTCTGGGTGTGAGTTTGGGGACATGAGAGGCAGCACTGAGCCCTCACAGTAGGCATGGAACATTTCTTCATGGACTTTAGTGTCTGGCAGAAACTGGCTGACAGCTTGTCCTTGGTGCAAAGCAAATCTATGGGAGGAGAAGAAATAAGAAAAAGCAAAGTTATACTTTGTAGAAGAAAGGGTGCATTAGTGTAACAGACGGTATTTGCTTACTAAAAAACACTCCATTCATAGTAATAGCTGACATCTATGGAACATTTGCGTATAACAGACACTATGCAAAGTGCTTGTGTTAAGCAGAATTATCTTAACAAATTGCCAGTCCCATGTGGTAGTACTATACATCCACACACATTTTCCATGGGTTCCTGGCAGATGGAGAACACTCCATCCCTTGACTTTTGTTTTCAGTCGAATGACTTGCTGTGGAAAATGGGATGTTAGCAGACTTCAACTGTGCTGCTGTTGCCACCATGAGAAGAACCTGCCTTGTGCAGCCACTGGCCCAAACAGGATGAGAGCTGCATGGAGCAGCTGGAGACCTAGTCGACAACATGGAGCCTAGGCCCACCACGCCAGACCAGATCAGTCAAACCCCAGCTGACTTGCAGACGTTGAGCAAAAACATGATTGTTGTTTAAAGCCCCTGTTATGGATAGAACTGTGTCACCCCCAAAAGTTAAGAGTAAACCCTGGCCTCTCTCTGTACCTGTGAGTGTGACCCTGTTTAGAAACTTGGATTTTCTTTTGTTATGCTAATTGGACCATATCAGAACAAGGGAGGGGCTAACCCTAATCATCTCTGATGTTGGCTTAAAAAATAGCTGAATAGACACAGAGAACCACACTGAGGAGTCCCTCCTGAAGTCAGAGGCAGCATGGTGAAGGATACAGATGTGTAAGATGTTGCCAGTGCCTTTCAGAAACACACCATCTAGATGAAGGGATAAGGCATATACCAATAGCACTCACTGTATAAACTGCCCCAGGTTCTGAATGAGATCATGCTGAAGTGTATCTTTAAGTCTAATTTGTAGCAAAGCAGAACAGATGCACGTGGTTCCCATTAGCCTTACTTTAGTGTGATTGGGATGAATGATTTGTTACAAGTAAAGGTTGAGGAACCAACTTGAGGGCACTTAACAATAACATATACTATATATAGACAAATATATGTCTATACATATATGTGTGTGTGTGTGTGTGTGTGTGTGTGTATGTGGGTTAATGCGCTGGACTGCAAGGTCATTTTGAACACTAAGGTCAGTGGTTCAAGTTCAGCAGCCGCTCCTCAGAAACCCTATGCATGATTTCTAGGCACTTAAAAACAATAACAACCATCAATGTATTTGGAGTCCTGGTGTGGTGCTGTAAGATAAGCACTGGACTGCTAACTGCAAGGCCAGAGGGTCAAAAATCAACTGTTTTTCAGAAATCCTAAACAAGGTCAGTATGAGTTGGCACTGTCTTGACATTTATCAACAACAATTACAAGGCAATGTGCTTAATAATATTATTTCATCTGGCCCTGATAGAAATTAATTTATTGGCACAGCTGGAATTTATATCCTGTCTCAGTAATTCTAATGGTTTATCATCAAGTTAAGGAATCTCCTGCACTGTTGATGGGGAATGAGGATATCACATGGAAAGGTCCTCCTTACCTAGAACATTTTACCTCATTCAATCTAGAAAACCCCACTTGCCTGGGTAAATTAACAACTAAATGCCTGAGAGAGGGTCCTTACACAATGCTGGAAATCATGAGATCCCTAGCCCTGAGTTCTAATGGTCCTCAGAGCCCTGGAAACATGCTGGGAGAGTGGGAGGGAAGAAGGAAGGGTGGAGCACAGTGGTAGCCTATACTGAGTACCTAGGTTCCAGGCCTATGTTTAGTAGCTCATTTGACAGTGGCTACAAGCCCAACAGCAGGCTAGGGCTTAATTACAACATTTCATTATTTTAAAACAATGAAGGCTTTGTTGTGTTCATCAGCCTACTGGAATCCGGAGCAGAGATACTCACAATGCTCATAATTAGGGGCAACTTGGGGAGGAGATCTCAATTTGCGTCTTCCTGGTTCAATAAAATTCATTCTTGGAAATTTAAAGGGACAGTTATAAGCCTGCTCCCTTGTTATGGGCTCTGTCTAGTTTGTAGGAATAGTATTTTACCCACAAAATAAAGCTGAAAAATAATTTCAATGTTGTTGACAAATACAGCTTTCATAAGACTGAGGATTTTCTACTAAGTCCTTGGATGCTAGGGACTGTTTTTTATTTATTCCTGTCTCCTCACTTGGTTTTTAGCACATGCCTGACACTTATCTTGTGATCAGTTATGTTTGTTAAGTGGGTAAATAAATGAAATCTAGAAGAATATTCTTTATTTAAAAATTTACTGACTCCAACATTTAATTTTTACTACTCTCTGTCAGTTTGTCGTACTGAGATGGCTTGTGTGTTGCTGTGATGTCAGAAGCTTTGACACTGGTATTTTAAAATACCAGAATGTTCACCTGTGGTGGACAGGTTTCAGTGGAGCTTTGGCTTAAGACAGACTAGGAAGAAGAGCAAACTACTTTGGAAAGGTTGTTGTTGTTGTTAAGTGCCGTCGAGTTGATTGCAACCCATAGCGACCCTGTCTGTACAGGGTTTCCAAGGCTGTAAATCTTTACAGGAGCAGACAGCCTCAATTTTCTCCTGCAGAACAGCTGGTAGTTTCGAACTGCTGACCTTGAGGTTCGCAACCGATTCATAACCACTATGCTACCAGAGCTCCTTGGAAAGCAGGGCAACATTGTCAGATATAATGTCGGAAGATGAAAATTTTATGGATATCACCAGAATATTGTCAGATACAGTGCTAGAAGTGCACAAAAAAATATGACTGTGGAAGAGATACCTCCTTAAAGTGGAGTTGACCTTGACGATTCAAATGGAATAAAAATTTCAGGACTTTCATTTGCTGATGGGGCACAGCTCAAAATGAGGAGAATCAGCAACCATTAATAATAACATGGAATGTATAAACTGTGAATCTAGGAAAACTGGAAGTTGTCAAAAATGAAATGTAACATGTAAATATCAATAACCTAGGCATTAGTGAGCTGAAATGGCCTGGTATTGTCCATTTTGAATCTGATAATCACATGTATTACTATGCTGGGAACAACAACTTGAAGAAAAATGGCATCACATTCATCATCAAAAAGAATATTTCAAGATCTATTTGAAGTACAGTGTTGTCTGTGTATTCATTACAAGAATGACCAGTTAATTCCATTATTAGTCAAGTTTACACACCAACCACTAAAGTCAATGATGATGAAATTGAAGAATTCTACCAGCAGCTTTAGTCTGAAATTGATCAAACATGCAAACAAGATGTACTGATAAATTACTGGTAATTGGAATTCCAAGGTTGGAAACAAAGAATAAGGTTCAGTAGCTAGAAAATATGGCTTTGTAGACAGAAATGATACTGGAGATAGCATGATAGAACTTTGCAAGGCCAATGACTTATTCATTACAAATACCTTTTTTTTTTTTTAAGGTTTTTATTGTGGATTGAGTGAAAGTTTTCAGGGCACATCATCGGTTTCACATTCAAACATTCATATACCTTGTTTCATTACATTGATTATAATCCCCTACCATCAGTTAACAGAGTTTCTCTCTATCCTCTTTAGCTTTTTTTTTTTTTGGAAAAAACTTTGCCTTTTTGGAATTTACAGTCTCTGCTTTTAGGGAAGGTTTTTACATTTATCTGTGGGTATCCAGGGCTCATGTATGGAATTACTAACCAGCATAACTGAATAATCAGATAAGGGACATTTTGCTATGTCTGCTAGGTGGCTAAAGTCTGATCCTCAGAGCCTATGGTTTGGACGGTCAGCAACGCTTACGCCCACAGGGCCTTGAACTCCTGACCGGGTCTGCACGGTCTACATCAGATTCCCCCTTATTTGTTATTTGTTTAAGGGACGCTGCCTGTCTCAGGCGGTCAGTGCGAATTCCCCGGTCTTACCCGTCATCGAAACTCATTGCAGCATGGCAATGGCTCTGTCTTAGGTTGCCGAGGTTCCACGTGATCCTTGCCCGTCTCTGGCCACACGTCCAGCATAAACAGCCGCCATCCGAAGAAGGCAGGGAGGAAGGAGATAGGCTGGGGACCCCACACGCAAGATGTTGCCAGACCACCACCTGCTCTAAGGTGACCAAGCAGGATCACTATGCTGAGGTTCAACCAAGTTCACAGGGGAACTTAATCTCTGGCCGAGGTAGCAAATTAGTAGCCATTTAGTTCTCAACTTGAGAATTACTTATATCAGAAATTTGAGCATGTAGCTGATGAATATTCACAGACAAGTGTATATTGTTCCACAATCTTCTACAATGCTGTTGAATTAAGTTCCAATCAGGTTCTGGTTAACTGAAAAAATAACACGTATCTACTTATACAGTGAATAACCTTAGCTGAGAGTGTAAATTGGTTATATTGAATCTTATTTCCCTTAAGCAATCTTCCTTTCTCTAGAGCATTTAGTCCGTATTGTAAACCTTTATCTATTTACTCTTGGATCGTGTGAGCGAGACTAATATCCCTAGACAGTTGATTTACATGGTGGGCAGGGACAAATACCTTTTTAAAACAATATAAAGATGACTATATACATTGACTTCACCATATGCAATACACAGAAATTAAGTTGACTACATCTGTGGGAAGGGATAGTAGAAAGACTCTATAACATCAGCTAAAACAAGGACAGCACTGACTGTGGAAAAGACCCTCAATTGCTCATATTTTTAATTAAGGTCTTTGCACATTTCATTTAATTAATTAAGGCTGAAGCTGAAGAAAATGAAAACAAGTCTATGAGAGCCAAAATATGACCTTGAGTATATCCCACCAAAATTTAGACACTATCTCAAGAACAGATTTGATGCACTAGGCACTAATGACCAAACATCAGAAGAGTCGTGGGAATGACATTAAGACCATTATAGAGGAAGATAGCAAATGCTCATTCTAAAAGACAGGAAAGAAAGAAAAGACCAAACTGGATATCAGAAAAGACTCTGAAACTTGCTCTCCAGAGTAGAGATGTTAAAGTGAATGGAA